TGTAACAGAATGCAAACTCAGAAATTAATATGTGTATCCAGAAAAACCTCACTGATGACAAGATAAAAATTCTTCAACAGATGGGGTTGGTAGGTTTTGATATCAACATTTAGAAGTAAAGACCCCATTTTACCTCTTATACAAAAGTCAGATAAAATAGATGAAGGTCCAAATCTATGACATCATACCATCAAACTACCAGAGGAAAACATCAGCGAACCTCTGCAAGACACTGACACAGAGACAAAAATAGATAAGTGTGATTATATCAACATAAGAAGTTTCTGTAATATAAAGGATACACTCAACAAAATGAAGACATGACCAAGAAAATGGAAAAGACTATTTAAAAATTAAACAACTGACAGAGGGATAATATCTAGGATCTTATAGTTCTTTGTAAAAGCTCAACAAACTCAACAAATCAAAAGTCTAGTTAAGAAATGGACAAAAGGGCCCGGTGCAGTGGCCTAGTGGCTAAATCCTCGCCTTGCATGTGCTGGGATCCCATATATGTAGTCAGTTTGTGTACCAGTGGCTCCACTTCCCTTCTACCTGCCTGCTTGAGGGTTTGGAAAGTAGTGGAAAATGGCCCAGAGCCTTGAGACTCTACACCTACGTGGGAAACCAGAAAGAATTTCCTGGCTCCTGGCTTCAGATAGGCTCAGCTCCAGCACTGCAACCACATGAGGAATGTGCCAGTGGATGGAAGATCTTTCTCTCTGTCTCACGTTCTCTCTATAAATCTGACCTCCCAATAAAAATAAATAAATATTTAAAAAGAGAAATGGACAAAAAATGATGATGAATTTCAAGCAGCCAACGTAAACATGAAAAATTATCAGCATCACTAGACATCGGGGAAATGCAAGCAAATACTTTTACTCACTCCAGTGAGAATGATTCTTATACAAATTTTTGAAAGAAATAATAAATTATTTTGAGAATATGGAGAAAAAGTTACCTTAATATATTGTTGGTGAGAACATAAACTAGAACAAACATGACAGTTTAGAGATTTCTCAGAAATCTGAAAATAGATTTAACATTCATCCCAACCCTTGAAATTTACCCAATTTGAAATTAGTATATAAAAATTTACCCAATTTGAAATTAGTATATGAACCTTGGAAATTTACTCAAATTGAAAGTAGTATATGAAATTAATAGATTAAATCAGTTATCTGTACTCCTATGATTGCTGTAGCTCAATTCGCAATAGGTAATATGTAGAATCAGCCCAGATGTTTATTAAATGATCACTGCATAAAGAAAAAACATATACTGACCCAGGCGTTGGGGTTAGGGGTGGCTTGCAGCTCCCTGCAGTGTGGCAGCTATGGGAGGTGCCCCTGCCAGGTCGGATCCAAAGCTAGGGACTCAGGCCAAAGCCACTGGTGGAAGGCAGTGACTGAGTCCTTGGCTGTGGACGTCCAGTGCCCCACATGTTGCTGGGCTCTGCCTGCTGGCTGCCCAGAGGCCAGCTCTGAGGTTTTTAGGATATGAAATTACTGCTTAGGTACACCCATGGCTAAGACCAGTTTTAGTGTAGGTGAGAAATTAATTCTGGGTGATTCCCAGCAACAGGGTCATGAAACTTTCAGGCAAGCATGGGGACTGAGACCTGATGGTTTGGAGGGGAGTGTCCATAAGATCTATTTTGGCCAGACTGATTCACCAGCCAAATTAGAAATCCTGAGACTGGCAGTTACCATAGTGCATCACTGACTGCCACACACCAGTCCACACCAAAGCTATGGATAGGGGCTAGTCTGACAGGGCTAGGTACCATTACTTGACTGGGTGGTGGAATAGTGGACTGGTCACATTTGGCAGGGTCACGACACTAACCAGCATGCGAGAGAACTTGGTCTGGGGGTAAACTCTGTGGGGGAAGTGTGGGCCCAACCCTGTGGAAATACAAGTCTCACAGGGTAGCTTGTGAGCTGGGGCGGTGATTGGCTAAGCTAGGAGTGACCATGGCACCTGCCATCACTTACGGGTAAAGGAACCAATGTCAATCTGGGCAGGTCAAGGCAGCACCATCTGAAAGTGCATCCTAAAATAGGATGTGGGGTGGGCTGAGCTGCAACTGGAAGGGGGCAGACCAGGCAGGGCCAAGCCAACTTCAACTCACAAAACAGAAATCAGGATGGAGCATTCCAACCTAGGCTCTTACACCAACTGGTCTGCAGGAGGCAAGGACACTATGCCACAGCATCTAAGGCAAAGGCTGAGACAGGTGAGGGGCTAAGCCAGCTGGGTCAGAGCACCCACTGACATGTGTGCAATCTTGGGTTGGGAATAGACTGTGGGGGAGCTGTGAGAGTATACCCTTGCTGGGTTGAGATTCCACACAGAAGGGTGCGGGCACTGGAGTGGGGGCTGTGTTCTGGTCTGGATATGGCTGCAATCTCCCTAGGCACAATTGTGGACTGGGGCTGAGTGCACCAAGCTGGGCTAAACACCAGCACCATCTGGCGCTCTGGAAAACCTGAGTAGATGTAGGACAGACTGGGATGGATATCTGGCCCTACTGAGCCATGTGTGAGCAGTGTCTGGGTATGGACAAGCCTTGGCTGGGGTGAAACAGCCAACACCAAGAACTGGAATGGATTGAAGGCCAGCAATGAAGGCTGGCTCACGGAACCACCAGTACGCGCAAAAACTGGCATAGGGAGAGGATCTGAAGGAGGAGCTTGGGAAACTCCTCTGTCAGAACACAGCCCCTACATGTGAGTGCAATAACCATGATATGGAGCAACCCAGACCAGGACAGAGGAAGATACCCACCATCATACATATGGCATAGGTGGGAGCAGACCAGGCTAAACCAGTTCACATCAATCATACACTGGTGAACCCGAGCATTAGCACAGAGTGTGGGTCAGGCCAGTTTCAGTCGCAATACATACCAGTGCATATTAAGGAAAGCCAAGGTGAGGTGAGCCGCACCAGATATGGTTGCAACACCCAAGCAGCACACGTGAGAACCAGAGAGGGAGGAGGTAAAGCCGGCAGGGGAATGTGGGCTCCCCTGCTGGACAACCACTCCCACTGGAGAACATGAGTTGGGATGGAGGCAGACCAGACCAGACAGGGCTACAACACCTGTGGGCCTCATGTGAGCTAGATAAGGGAAGGGCCAAGTTGGGCTGAGTGTTCCTACTGGTGCAAGCAAAAATTAGAGTGGGTGAGGGTTGGTTGGGCTTTGCCACATCATCAGATGGCAGAGGCTGGCACTAGGGGCTAATTCTGTTAAGTTAAAGGCCAGAACCATCTGGAGAGTACATAATCAGGAAATTGGTGTGGCCTAGTAGGGAGATAGTGGGCAACTCCCTCCTGGGTTATCATTCCTACTGGGGAGCACGAAAACCAGGACGGGGCAGGGGTGGCTAGACAGAAAGGACCTGCCAGTATGTGTGGGGGCTGAATAGTACATTGGTTGGGTTGAACTAGGCTTTAATGCCCATTGGCAAGTACGAGATGTAAGTGGGATGTGGGACAGACTGACAAGCCTTCGGTACATACTGGCATGCATGGGAACCAGGGTAGGGAGTGGGCCTGGTGGGGTTATTGCGGATCACCCTGACTAGGCTACAGCTCCCATTGGTTTGTGTGAGGACCGAATATGAAGTGGGTAGGATCGAGCTGGACTACCACACCCATTGGTTCAATTGGAAGACAGGGCTGGAAACAGAACTGACCCAGCAATTGCAACGACCAGCATGTGCATAAGCTGATTGGGGCAATGGGCAGTGACAGACCCTGTACTGGCAAACTCACACAAGAATCAGGTTTGGGATCATCTCAGATGAATTTTATTTGGAGATCCCTCCAACTGAACTGCTGATCTCAGAACCCCAAACATAAAGAAACTATGTCAGCCAGTGGATTCTGAATAGGTTTCATTGCCATTGGAACAGAGAGACTGGCAACAATTCAGACCTGTTGAACTATCAAAACTGCTTGAGCAGGACCCTCGGAGCGTGCCTCATATCAGGGACCTGGGATAAGTAGGAGGCCTGGCCTGGATATAGCCAAGTACTCAGTCACTGCCTTCTACCAGTGGCTTTGGCCTGAGTCCCCAGCCTTGGATCCAGCCCGGCAGGGGTATCCCTCACAGCCGCCACATTGCAGGGAGCTGCAAGCTGCCACCAACCCCAAGGCCCGGACCTAAAGATTTATTTTTATTGCAAAGTCAGATATACAGAGAGGAGAAGAGACAGAGAGGAAGATCTTCTGTCCAATGATTCACTCCCCAAGAGACCACAATGGCCAGTACTGCACTGATCCGAAGCCAGGAGCCAGGAACTTCCTCCAGGTCTTCCATGCGGGTGCAGAGTCTCAAGGCTTTGGGCCATCTTTGACTGGTTTCCCAGGCCACAAGCAAGGGGCTGGATGGAAAGTGGAGTCACCAGGATTAGAACCGATGCCCATATGGGATCCTGGCACGTTCAAGGTGAAGACCTTAGCCACCAAGCATCATGCCGGGCCCAAGACAAACACTTACAAACAAAAGAAGTTAAACTTTAAAATGGGCTCCAGTGTGATGGCTCAAAGGCTAAATCCTCATCTTGCAAGTGCCAGGAGCCCATAAGAGTACCTGCTCATGTCCAGCTTCTCCACTTCCCATCTAGTTCCCTGCTTTGTGGCCTGGGAAAACAGAAGATAATACCAAAGCATTGGGATCTTGCACCCATGTGGGAGACCTAGAAGAAACTCCTTACTACTGGCTTTGGAATATTAGCTCAGCCCCAGGCACTGCAGCCACTTGGAATGTGAACCAGCGATGAAAGATCTTTCTCTCTAAGCTTCTTCTCTCCATAAAGCTGACATATAGAGAGTCATGCTTTCACTAATGAGGCACAAACCCTTTTTACTATAAACCCTGAAGATACACGCATCTCGATATATGTCTACAGGACAAAGGTTGCCTGAAAATAATTAGAAATTATTCTTATGCTATGAAGAAAATGCAGAAATCTGAAATGTTAGAACACATTTTTATTGAACATCATGGTGGAAATGAGGCATATCTCCTCCCCGAAGTGCTCTGGTAATGTGGCACTTCAAAATGTCTCTTGTGTTCAGTCTGTGTTCTCTAAAAGCATTTCCTCTGGACCACAGAGGTGCCGATCTCCTTGTATTCTGCAGAGGAAATCCACATCTGCTTGAAAGTGCTCAGGGAGGTCATAATGGATGAGCCAAGCCACGAAGAGTAGCATCTATCAGGAGAAGCCGTGATCCTGATGGGGGTTCCTTTGGAAGCCAGCAGCTCTAATTCTTTCATGAGTCTTTCCTCCAGTCCAGGGAAGAGAGTGTTGCCCCCACTCAGCACGATCTCTGCAAAAAGGTTCTTCTGGATGTCAATGTCACACTTCATAATGCTGCTGGAGACCATCTTTGAGAGTCCTGGGTTGCATATGCCCAGTTGATCAGGTGAAAAAAGAACCTCAGGTACTTGGGACAACTGTTCTCCAATGGGGATGACATTCCCATCTGGCAGTTTGTATTTTCTCACCAACTCCTCACTCTTCTTGCTACGGTCTTTCTCTGGATCCATGCTGATGTAGCACAGCTTCTCCTTGATGTCATCCACCACGGCCTTGTTGAGAATACATGGGTAGGTGCACCCGTTAGCAAGGAGGAGCCGGGTAATATGTTCTGTGATGTCTCTTCCTGCCACGCAGAGTTTGGTGACTGCATGTGGTAGCATGTAACCCTCAAAGATGGGGACAGTGCAAGTAACTCCTTCGCCACTGTCAACCACAAGGCCTGTGACACAGGCAGAGGCATACAGCGCTACCACAGCATGGTTGGCCAAGTAGAAACCTGGAACACTGAATTTCTCAAACATTATTTCGGTGGTTCTCTCTCGGGTCTCTCCTGGGTTCAAGGATGGCTCAGTCAGGAGTAGAGGTTGTTCACTGGGTTTCATTCCAAGCTGCACCTCAAAAAGATAGTTCCAAAGTTTTTCCATGTCATCCCATCCTGTTATCAGTCCACGCTCAATGGGATAGTGCATATAGAGAGAATCATACTGCTTCACAGCTTCAACTCCAACAAAGTACTTCTTCGGATTGGCTTTTGAGGAAGGTATATTGAATTTTGGGTGCCCCACGACTGAGCTGATAATATGACGGGGTCCATTTTCTCCAGACAGTCCTACTTTACAGAGGCCTGAACCATTGTCAAAAATCAGAGCAGGAGCATCTGACACATCTGAATCAGACATGTTTTTACTTGTTCTAGACTTCACAAAAATGAAGCTCAATTAGGCCTCTTTATGAGACTGTGGTTACCTCTGGAGGTTTGAATGTTACAGGATTCCAAAATCTCTGGATGTTGTCCAGTTGGAGCTGGTTGGCAGTTCCCTATCCACCAGAACACCCCGTCTTTAACCCATGAATCTTGTCTCCTCTGTGGTGGCTCAAGGCCTGCTAAGGCAATTTATAGGCTGGCTGGCTGTATGTAACAATCTCACCATAGCAACAGCTGTCTGGGATCAGCATCAATGGGGGAGGGGCTGGGTCTCAGCCATCAGGGCTCCCCAATTAGTGACACAGGAAGCAAGGGCTGGGTCTCAGCCATGAGGTCTCCCTAGGTAGTGGCAGATGAAGCAAGAGAAGGGAAACTATACATACATATAGCTTGGTAACCCATACAGAGGCCTATCTTTAAGAAACCGTGAACCTACACATCTTTGGGCTTACTCAGTTTTTGGTTGACCTCCAATGTATAGGATATCAAAGCTATCCTTCCATTTGCCAAGTGGAAAAATTAATAAGCCCCAGTCACAACTCTAGGATGTAGCTTTCACCTGTAAAGAATTATTTTCTAGGGCCAGTGTGATGATATAACAGATAAAGCTGCATATTATGATTCTGACATCCTGTATGGCAGCAGGTTTGTGTTATGGCTGCTCCATTTCCAATCCAGCTCCCTAATATGGTCTGAAAAGATCACCAGAAGATGGCCCAAGTGTTTGGGCCCCTGCTAGCCATGTAGGAGTCCTAGGCAAAATTCCTGGTCTTGGCTTCAGCCTTGGCTCAGCCCTAGCTATTGTAGCTGTTTGGGAATGGATCATTAGTGACTGGCAGATCTCTCTCTGTCTCTCTCTCAATCTCTGTAACCCTTTCAAATAAGTAATCAAAGCAAAATCATTTCCTCTTCCTATGTTTTACATAGCCATGAACTTATCATCCAAAAAATAAATAAAAACATGAGCCCCAGGGATGGGAGGGTCTGATGAGACTCAGGTCCCTTGGCCTGGGGCCTTTTGACCAGTCAGCCAGGCAGTCAGCAAGGCAGGCATCCCCAGGGAAAAAGGGTGCTGGCAATACTTGAAGAACCAGGACCTTTAGACCCACATGTAGGCAGCCAGGCCAGAAACCCCAGGAATGGGGGGTATCGGTGGAGGTGGGGGGCAGAGGGACCGGCAATATTCAGGTCCCCTGGCCTGGATCCTTTTGACCTGCAGGCAGGAACCCAGGCCAGCAGCCCAGGGAATGAGGGGCCCTGGCAGGACTGAGTTTTCTGGGACTGGGTCCTTTTGACCCATGTGCAGGCAGCTGGTTTGACCAGCCCCGGGGATGGAGGGGCCTGGTAGGGCTCCGATCCCCTGGCACCTGGGTGAAGCCCTCAGGCCATCCAGCGACACATTCTGTGGGATAGGAGGTTTGGGTTTGCAGGGGTTATGGGTGATGGCCAAGTTGGAGGTGTGCTGGGACCCAAGTGCTCATGTCCAGGTGAGGAATGATCTCTGAGGAACTGACATGTGCAAGGCTATTTTGTTCCTGCAGATCTGAGCCTTCTCAGTACCTCAGATGGAGCAGTGGATGGCATGCCTAGATGCACATAGAAAATATGGCATTCCATTGTGGCCTGCAGATGACATCTACTACCAGAGCAGAGGAGGGCGGGCAGATTACCCAAGGATGGGGGCAGGGGCAAGGGGAAGTATGGGAGGGAGGACCTGCGAGGGAGTATGTTCCAGGTGAGCAATAACTACTGGGGGACTTCCACCAACACAGGCACTATACATACAGATAAGTGATGGGGTCAAGATGGAGCAGTTTGGAGGGGGGAACAGGAGGACATTTAAGGGTAAGACTGAAGCATCAGCCAATGTGGGACACCTGAGCTGGGGTAGTTAGCATCAACTACCACTGAATAACACTCACTGGCATACGCTAAAGCTAGAGCTGAGGGCCTACCTGGTGGTGTTAGATCACAGTACCTACTTAGTGAGAGTTGAAACAGGGGATGGGTAATGTTAGGCTAGTCCATGATACTAACCAGCATGTGAATCAGCTCTGGGACAGATTCTGGGGTGGATCTGTCTGCTCAAGATGTGGCTTTAGGGACTTTCAGAATACAAAGGATTTCATAATTATTAATCAGTATTGCTATTATGATTGTTGGGTTGCTACTATTGAAATCAAGTACTCCAATCTGTGTATTTTTTGCCCTTCTTCAAATTTTTTAAATTGTTTTGATTATTCACTGGGTTTTCAGTTACCTTGAGGGACATCATTAATTGCATAGAACAATTGGAGAACATTATTATTAACAACACTGATTATGTTAATTCATGAAAACTATATTATTAATTTAGAAATTTACATTCCTTCAGAAGTGATTTACACATTTATTTCATTGAATTTGTCATAGAAGTCATATATCATTAATAGATCCCATTGGAGGATAATTATAATACCCAATGCTTTATAATCAACGTACAAGGGTGTGCAAGCATCAAGAAGATACAATTTTAGAGCAAAGTACAAATACTTCCCCTTAAATAGAAACTGTATGCTCACCTGTAAGTACACATCTTGCTCACTCACAATCATAGTAAACCACTAATCTTGTTGCATTATCTGGACGTTAAAAATAGAATTGTATAAGACATGGTGTTTTACATAGCAGTGCTATTGGTGTACATTTGTATTATACAAGGCATCATTATTTTCTTCACTTAAATTATCAAATACCATTGCATTATATGAATATACTGTATTTTATATATGCAATCACTATTCCACATAACAGAACCTAATGAACATCCTAACACTTGGTCCACATCCTTTGTGGCCATCATGGGAGGATAAAGCGGAGGAAAGAATTCTCTGTCTCAACCATTCTCCCTGTTTAACTCTCTTTTAGAAATAATTTTTCAAAAGAAAATAGACAGAAATCTTAATCATTATTTAATTTGTTTTGCCTAAGCTAAGCATTTTCTTTTCAAAGAATCTTAATAGATTACCAATTCATACAAAGAAAAAAGAAAGCTGGGGTTTTAGATTTTCCTCTTTTCCGTTATTATTACATTATTTTATGATACAGCTCCATATGCTCTGAGATTTCCCTTTCTCTCTTCCCAAATTCCCTCACCCTTCCTCACTGATGTATCCTGTATCAGTACAATAGTATAGTTCTTCAAAAACAGTCATAAGTCCATCATTGCATACATGGATAATGGCAGAGCCAAGCATCACATTTTCAAAATATATTTAACACTTTCATTGGAAGTCCATCTGTGATCTAGAAGTAGAGATGCATACTGCATTGTATCCTCACATCTGGATATGACAGTCTCCATGATACACAGTTACTATATTTTCCATTAAATGAAAAGCCATAAAACAAAATCAAAAGCAGGAAAAAAAACCAGAAATTTACAACATGAAGATACTTTACATGCTACTGGATGACTAATGTGGCGCTGAAGAAATGAGAAAGAAAATTAAGAACCTTCTTGTAGAAAATGATGCTTCTGTATGACCTATGAGTCAATGAAAAATTTAATGAGAAAAAAGTTTTGATGAAAATAAAAACAAAGAAATCAAAATACACGAGATACAGTTTTAACTGCTCTTTGTTGGTGAGATGTGTCTCCTCTAGGTAACAGGTAGATGGGTTATGTTTCTTTGATCCAGTCTAGTAATCTATGACATTTGATAGCTATAAGCTATTTACATTGTTATTTTACTGGGATGTTCTTCACATTTGCCTTTGTTTTTCGTTTTGTTTTCTGTCAAGAGAACATCTTTAAGTATCATTTGCAGGGCATGTCTGGAAAAGGCATACTGTCTGAACTTTACTACGGAAGAATTTTTTCTTTTCATTTTCATAACAAAGCAAAGGTTTGCTGGGTACGTTATTTTGGGCCAACATTTTTTTTTTTTCCTATTTTAGAATCTGTAATAGGTTTCTCCATTCTCTTCTGGAATGTAGAGTTCCCTGCGAGAGGTCAGTTGTGAGTCTGATTGCTATTCCTCTAAATTTCAATTGACTTTTTTCACATGTACATTTCAGGTACACATTTTCCTTATGTTCAATTGAAGAGAGCTTTATCATGTGTCATGGGGAAGACGGATTTTGGCCAATGCTGTTGGGAGTTCCATGTCCCTGCTATATTCTGCTTTCCAATTCTTTCTCCAAACTAATGAAGCTTTCCTTTATAATTTCATTAAATACATTTTTTACTAAAGATTTATATACAGAGAGGAAGATAGAGAGAAGATTTTCTGTCCGATGATTCATTTCTCAAGTGGCTGCAACAGCCGAGCTGAGCTGCTCTGAAGCCACAAGCCAGGAGCCTCTTCCAGGTCTCCCACTCCGGTGCAGGATCCCAAGGCTTTGGGACTTACTTGACTGTTTTCCCACGTCACAGGCAAAGAACAGGATGGAATGCAGGGCTGCTGGGAGCAGAACTGGCACCCATAAGGGAACATGGCACATGCAAGGCAAGGACTCCAGCCTCTAAGCTACTACACCGGGCTCTCATTAAATATATTTTTGAACCGAGATTCTTTTTCTGAGCCTTCTGGAACTCCCACAGTTTTTATCTTTGGCCTTTTACTAGTGTTTCTTAGTTCTTGAATACTTTCTTTTTAGCTTAACCTAGCTTTGTTTCCAGCTTTCTGATATTTTCCCATTATAACAAGAAATATTCTCTACTTCTGAGATTCTTCCTTCTGCTTCATTCATTCAATTATTGAGACTTTCCACTGATTTTTCAAATTTGCTCCATTACATTCTTTATTTCTAATAATTTGGCTTGGTTTTATTTCAAAGTTGCTACTTCCTGTGTGACATACTCCTTAAATTCCTTGAACTCCTATATGAGTTTCTCGTTTCTGAAAAGAAGCTTTACAGTGAGTTTTTTGAATTCTACATCCACTATTTCTTCAATGTATTCCTCAGTTAACTCTGAAGTTGACAAAGGATTTTGCTGCTTTGCAGGGGAGTCTTCAGTAATATTTATAGTGCGGGTGTCTCTTCTTTTGTACTTGGTTATTGTACTTCTGGTAAGCCAATTCTTCTCCTTAGGGTAGGTTTCTAAACTGACCCACAGGCCTACATTTCAATTTTACGTATTGCACTTGATACCCCTTTGTTTGCAGTCA